GTTGACGTAGCAAATGTCGAAAATGCTCAAAGAAGCGGCTACTTACAATTGCATTTGCAAAAAGATGCACTACAGTATTATTTCCGCGACCGACAGTATAGACTTCGACCAATTTCGCTAACTTCCAATTTGAATTTCATTTGGCGGCAATTCTACTAATACGAGACCAACAACTGAGCCCATTATTTGCCTTATACGGGTTATTACCGTCAATAGATGTAATATGCACACGATGATCCATTTCAGTAGCACCCATTGCAGCTAGATTTTTCCGACTAAAGAATTTGGCACTATACATGCATTTAACAATAATCCCATACTGACGATCCATTCTTGACAACTTTAAACTAAAAATAACACCTAAAACTTTTAGTTTAGTACGTGTGCAACTGCTAAAGAAAAAATTCAGTTTAGATTACTGTAAAATTCAAAATCTTAAGTATAAGTATGTCAAAAAAACAATTCTTAACACTCAACAGTTCAGTCAATGCAGTCTTGATTCATGAAAAACCTTAACCAAAGTTTTTTTTGTTTCTTTTTTTCTTGTTTCGTCTCTAACATCTTTTAATGTAACAGTAAAGCAGGATGAGTACTGGCACAAGATATAGAAACAACAGTATACTGAAATCGTTCACTTCTCTTGAATATTCAGTATCTTTACACATGTCGGCAACTTCTTTGGCCCAGACTGTCATATTGTTGACAACATAACCAGTTCGATTAGTACAACACTTGATTATAAAACTTCTGAAGATTTTTTCAACACACAGTTTTTGGCTAGAGAAATCGATTAAACTGCGAAATTGGAACATGCCACATGAATTTAAACATTTAAATATGAAAACAGTAAAGATGTTTTGTGTTCACTATGTTAAATTATCAAGTTTATCAAGTAAAACCTACGAACATTAAAAACACAAGCACAATTATTTTGTTACAGTGGTGTCACCATCTACATGTAATTTACATCTTGTTCGTGAGCCACACATTTCTACATCTACAAAAAACATCTGCATGGGAATCTGAAGTTCAACCGATACAAAATGACGAGGAAATGATGCCAAATGGCATCCTATTCAACGAGCAAACGAAGATACTTTTAGCCGAAAAGTTTATTAACACACAATTTCTTGTTCTCTTCACGAAATATAACCTGAGGATACTTGACGACAATACTATCCTGTCGAAGAAACTCAACAGCTACTGGACTCAGCCATCTCTATTTTGCGATTTGGATTTCTCGGCCGGTTTCAACTCGAACGATAGCTTCTTCAACGTGGATTGGTTATTGAAGCAAGAAACGAACAAGGCGAAACTCGAAGTTGAAAAACTACACGCGGAAACGAATTTCTGAACCCGAACCAGCTGCCACAAAACAGACGACGCAGAGGATCACCAATTGCTGCACTTGCAGTTGCGTCTATTGACCTGTTTGGAGGCGGAATTTTTGTTGGAAATTCAGAATGTGGCTTACTCGGAATTTTCGGATCCTGTCATGAAAAAGCAAAGAAAACGCAGAAAACGAAATGCGGCTAGCTGATTTTTCTGTGGCAGTAGCCACCGATCTACATCGTCTGAGATCAAACACAAACAAAAAAACTTTTTCTTGTCAGTAAAGAACTCGCCGAACTGAAGAAAGTTCAAGATGAGCTGATTTCAATACAGAACCACATTTGGAAAATTATAGACGAACAACTGGACACGTTTGCCAACAACATCCACATTCTTCGCAACTGTGATCAGCTACTGATTTCCAGACAACAAATCAACTTCAACTACGATTCATTTTCATCCTTGCTCTCACTTGCGTACGCAAATATCAAGACATACAGAGCAGCTTTGTATGCATTTCGGATGAACTTGATGACAGCTGTTCCAACACTTTCGAAGAAACACCTTCCGATGTCCTTAGTTCCAAAAGATAGCCTGAAGAAAATCTTAAGGGTGGTAGCAGAAGAGCAAGTACAGTCTGCTGACCGACGTTCTCTTGCTATTCCGATCAGCGAAATCCTTAGCTATTATGAAGCGTTCCTTAGCTATTATGAAGTGATACAATAACCATCAAGGAAGGCCTACTAATGACGCTTTCAACACCTCTTGCGAGCGGACAGACAGCTTTTACGGTGTATATAGCACATGCAATTCCGATGCCTCAGCCGGAACCAGAGTCTGCTCTCAAATGGAAAATTGAAGCGGAATACCTAGTAGTATCGGAGGATCAGATGGAAACTGCAGCTATTAGCCAAGGACAACTAGACAAGTGTATAGGATCCAGCAAACACCAAATATGTCATGAGAATATGGCAACGGAAACAGGACATTCTTCGTGTTTAGCAAACTTACTCTTTAAAGGCACTTCGGATGCGTTGAAGGTTTGAGACACCGAAAAAATGTTCCTTCCGATGAAAGAACAAGCCAAAAAGTTGGGATTTGGTGTGGGGCTGATCACCTCAGCACACGTTGGATACAGCTTGATGGAAACGGGTACCTTGTCCTCGTCCGATTCTACAATCAGAAAGTTCAAAGGCTGTAAAATTTGCCTTATTTCGCTGGAATGCGGCAGACAGATCATGGGACCGAACATCAAGATACGAAGTGACCTGAGCAGTTGCGAGCATATTCCTGCGGTCAAAGTGAACGTTAAACCTCCTGACTCTTTGGCTCACTTGATTGAGACACTGCCCTCGGTGGAGGAAATGCCGACGTACAACCAACAAGTGGATGCCAGCATGGATATGCTTAGGAATGTAAGTGAAAAACTCACAAAAATAGCCACAACCGCAAATATCGAAACCTTAGAAGATATAGCGAAACGAATAGCAACAGGGATGAGAACTTTGGAACCGAGCTTACCGAGACACTTCGATAACCTGGACACACTGAAACAATGGATTATAATTAGCCTGATTTCGTTTTTACTTTCAATGATGCTTCATATCTTGTTTTTCTGGGTGTATAATAAATACAGTAGAGTGAGACGACTTGTACCACAGTTTTTGAAAGGAGAAGACCAGAAAACAAATACACCGATGAAGCCAGTTATGTGAGTGGACACGACGGGACACACAAACTTGACAGTGGACGCAGGAAAGCACAGCGACGATAAAAAATGTATGTTAAATTGTAAATTAATGAAGTATTATATAATTAATTCTAGAATGACCTGTGTCGCTCATGTGGCAAAACAGTGGACTTATTTAACCTATCAAAGTAATATCAACCGAACAGTATTTTTTTACTACAAGTACGAGAAGACGGTGACACCACTACGTATACTTTTGGAAGGAAGATGTATGACGGCTACTTCAGCCTGACGATTATTACTTCTGGACAAATATATATATTCTGGTGGACTATATTCTGGTGGACTATATTCTCTGTGAATCATCATCATTGCGTATCTAATTTCCCTTGGGTGGGCAAGAAACTTTCAGCAGGGGAGTCTGACGTTGTTTTGAACACTGACCTTCTAACATCCTGAAGTTTTGACGAAAATTTGTAAATACCAAAAGCAACGTCAGAAGAAGATGCAATAAGATCAACTATTCGAAATGTTTGCTCATACCAAATCAATGCCTTTCAAGTCGATTAGTTTAGCAACTAGAACAAGCAAAACTCAAATGAGAATGTGTTCAAAACTGGAATTCTCCTATTACCTAATATGAACCAAGATAAACTATTTAACCATAAATGTCGCAAATATTTAAAAGTTTTATTTATATATGCTAGAGGTTAAGAATTTTCAACCCTTGTTAGCTAATGAATCTGGCGCCATAATTGATATTTAAAAGTTGTATTCGTGGCAATTATTACACAACAGGATGTAAATAGACCCTGACCCGAATTATAGATATTGAAAAAAGAATACAAATCGTCAGTAAAGAATTCAATTGTTAGACTGCATTGTTGCCTCTTTCACAGCAGAAAATCACAAACTTGAGCTCAGGACCAAACATCGAGTTGATACTTTAGGTGATGAGCTGCAGATGTTTGGCAGCTTCTTCGGGATTCTCCCATAAGCTCTCGATGGTAAGTGAGGTTGGGTGTACCCTGGTCCTATGTAGCAACTTGGGCAGACATTGGGTATATTGTTGTTAAGCCTGTGGTGGTAGCTGGCGAGGTGAGTTGAGTATCCGGATCGCAGCTGTGACAGTGTGCATCGAGCTTTCCGGTCAAGTTTGCTTTCATTTGGGGCTAAAGTTGGAGGTATTCTACCAAGTAACTTAAACAAGTTTTAAGTCAATTGAGTTTGTTGAATTTATGAAAGTTTTTGTGTTTTGTATTGTTTGATGCACGATGTAATTATATACTGGAGAAATAAATTCTTTCTTTCTTTCCATGATTACGATACTTCCATTGAGCTTTCAGATGCTTGAAAAACGCAGCAAAGCTTTCTTGGCTTCTTGATGCCCTGAGGACTCGTGCGAGCTGACTAGGACTGCTTCGTTTCGAATTTGGATTGATTTTTTTTGCAACAAATGTGAGTTTGTGTTTATCGAAGATAAGTTTTCATTTTACCGGTCACCTAGTAATTTATGTAGTCATCTGGACAAAATTTTTTTCCTTTATGTCTTTCAATTTAATAAATAAGCGATCGAGCCATCATCAAATGTGCACTGGAGTGCTTCTGACCCAATAAACTTGCAACAAAATGTTCGTTATTATGGAACTTTCCTTGTTTCCAGAAGTTTGAAAGAAACGTCGGCGCTTTGTTTAAGTTGTTATTGCTCTACAGTTTTTGTGCGAAAATTGCGTGAATGTACATTAGTATCATATTTAAGACCTAGTAGTCTATTTACTTTTACAAACATTAGCTATTTTTCAATAAAAAATTATCGATTATTCAGAGCCTCAGTTTTTCACATATATTTTCACCGAAACCAAAGGACCAGCTTACATACGTTGATTATCTCTGAGTTCATTTGTGAATCAGTTCAATTATGCTTATGATAATTTTGACATCATTTTTGATTAAACGCAAGAAAATTGTCTCGATACTGTTATTTTGCGCTAATTTATGACCAATTTTGCATTTCAATGAGTCTGAACTAGCTGCAATAACCTCATTAGACCCTTAAATGTGTGCCATTTGACTTGTTGTGTCTGGAAGTGGTTGATACAACACTTTGGAATGCTTGCTGTCGCACTTTTGAGATAATTTTGGGCTAGACCGTTGCTGCTTGTTTTCAGTGATCGCCATGAAAAGAAGAGTTGATATTGAGAATAATGTATCTTACGACAAGGATACAGGCGCTATGCTAAACAGGGCGGATTTTGGAGACTAATAATTATAAAAGTAGTACAGCTTAAGCTTGAGATATCTGTTTGATATTTTTTTGAGATAATGCACTGAGACAAAATCAAATGGGCAAGCAAAAAAATGGAACTCAAAAAATGTACTTCACCCAAAAAATTAACTGAATTTATTAACTCCAGTGGGAAGGGATAGTCATTGGCCAATAACTTTCTGTCACAAGTAAACTAAAAAAATCGTTGCACTATTTCTAGAGATGAAGAAATACTAGCTGCGAACTCAATTGAAAAAAAACTAAGAAGAGGCAGAAGCTGCTGAATGTTTTCCCACACTTTTTGTTCCCGCTTTGTTCACTTCTAGAAACACAAAGTCTTCACACGCACTGGTCGCATTTCCATCTTGGTCCAAATGGTGCACCCTTAAAATCTTCTCCTTCTTCTGAGGTTTTTCCAAATTGATAGTCTTCATTACAGCTTCGTAACTTGACGAACTGATGACGAACATCGGGTAAACTCCACGTTCTAGACTTGTGGGTGTCATTTGGAAGCAAAACTTCATAAACTCGTTTCTGTTTTTGCAATAGAATCCCAGCGTACAACTTGGATCCATTTTCTGCACAGACATTTTTCTCGGGTACTCACACCTGAATGTCTCGGTCGGAAAATACTCACCTTTCGTTATAACTGTCGGCTGGCAAAAATGAGGATCTAAATAAAGTAGTTTCTCTTTTTGATAACCTACGAAATACAGAGAATGTCGTGGTTTTCCTCCTATTATTCCTAAACAGTTTTCGGAATGAAATAAATCTTGAACTAATGAGGAATATGACGAGTTGAAATAATCGCCACCAAGCCTAACGGGCACCAAAATAATAACTGCAGAATCTTCTCTCTGAGACAAACATTGCGTTACTACATCGTTCTTGTAAATGGTGCAATCTTGGGCAATGTAAATGGAGAGATTGTTCAAGCAGCTGTCGACGTTACTGGCTTTAGCGCGTTCCAATGCGTCGCGCAGAACATATGCGACTGAGGAAGGTCCGTACCAGTCTCCGACACTCTTGCCGGATTCCCTGCCGATGTTGACGAGTGTGTGCAGCGAGAAAGGCGCGCTCAGACCAACGGCATCGTCGAAGAGTCTCAAAATCTGAAGGTAAGTTCTGAAACAATTCAAATGTTTTGATTAGCCATCTGTTCTATTTAGCTATCAAGTATTCTTGATTCAGTAATTTTATTTTAAAAAATCTACAACTGCATCAAAAGGAAAAATTCGATTTCAGTTCCTATTTTATCTAATACTGGCGTTTTTACCAAAGGGGAAGAAACGGAAACTTTATTTTATATATTTGCTTCTGAAAGAACCCAAAACCATAAGACAGCGCTGAAACTTGCATACACAAGAGAACCGAAAATAAGATTAAAATCAACCTGTACTTTTAGACCCTGTAAATTTAGACCTGAACTTTTCCCCATACATTTTTTAAAACGAGATATACAAATAAAACTGCGTGCTAGGTTGGAACATTAGACTGTTAGATTAAGCTACGATTGCCCAAACCATGAGCATAATATTACAGCATTTAACTTACTTCTGTGAGCTGAGAGGTCCTTCAAATTTCCACTCTCTTTGCAACATATGCAGAAGCAGTGCCTGGCCTAACATCATCTGTCCACTTCTCAACATACATCCCCAGCCCGTATCCGAAGTCGACTTCGTTTCCGGCAAGGGCGGGAAGTCCTTCCTATACGTGAACCAGATTCTCGATTGGAAGTCATGTTTAAAGGCAGGAAAATTCAACAACACTGTCGTTTGTTCTGTTATTTCTTCACCCAAGCTACTTGAGCGACGTCTGGCACTCGTTGGCGAGGCCCCTTGTCTCATACTGTCTATGTTGGCAGTGCTGCCGCTAAGTCGTTTACTCGGCGTGATTCGACCACTTGGTAAAGCGTTTTCTGAGGCACCTGCTGTTTCTTCGGCCGTTTGAATAGCGCTGCTATCTTGAGCTTCAATGCTATCTGCGCTGCTTCCTTTCGAGTCGTACTTGACACCCAAGAGCCAAATCGGGTGTGGTGATGAAAACGAAGCCTTTCTCTTGCCGAATGCCCATCCGTTTTTAACGTTATTCCAAGCCGACAAAAATCTGACTTTCAGTTTTTCCGAGTCCATCGAAAACGCTTCGTCGTCCTCGTTCAAACCTCTATAGGCCACTTGACGATGTGCTGATATACTCTCTGATAAAGACCTTGTCAATAATACGTTGTGATACTCAGCTTCAACCTGACTGGCTGAAAATGACTCAGCTGGGCCAATAGTCACCCCTGGTTGCAAGGAATGGATTCTTACTGGAGGTCTCTCGTCTCTTTGTAGAACCTTCGCTGAATTTCGTTTCGGAACTACTTTCACTCTAGCCACACCATTAAATGACGAGTCAGAGGTGCTGACGTCGGGAAGATTTTGGGCTCCCTGAGTTACAGGAACCCAATTGTTGGTTTCACTCGTCGTGTTTGGCTGAAAAGATGTTGACGAATATCTGTAACTACTTGAAACCAGAACAGCTGAATGGCCACTAGCCGATCTCTGGTCGTGCTTTGAATTCAATTTAGAAGCTTTTCTGCCTCTTTGGGGACTTTCTGGAATCTGTGTAGTTCCTGGACTTGGGTTCAAATTTGTTTCCAATTTCGCAAGAAACTCTGGATCTTTAGACTGACTTTGACTGCTATCACTATCAACTACATTCTGTTTCTGAGAATTACTCAAAATTTTACTAGATTGAAATGAAGTATCTACTCCACTGTCGCTTTGTGTTAAACTTGTATTCGTGTTCTTAGAATGTAGCTTCTCGTTTCTTGAATCGTTCTCGGATCCTGAATTTCCAGGAGCCGCAACGTCAACTTTGATCTGTGGTGGCAGCTGTGTATTCAAACTTGAAAAAGGGATACGCTGGGGGGCTTTACTGGTTCTTGGGGGAGAAGTATTGCTACTAATAAGTGCTTGGTTCATTTGATGAGCGTGAGTTTGTTACATTTGTTGGTTATTTTTTTGATATGTCTGATTTTGTTCGAGGCTGCAAATTGTCGTCGTATCGCTAACTCTCTCTTCATATTATGAGCAAATGTTAACCATTATGCCGGAAATCATCAGCTTCAAAATTGCATCGTAGAAATTTGTCAATCAGTTATGCTCTGAAACAGTTCAAGCAGGAAATTATACAAGAAAATGCATCTTTTCAAATAATTAGCTACAATAACCTATTTCGCAACAGAACAAGTCAGCAAAAAATGACACATCATGAAACAAAAAACTCCTTAAGCTTCAAAAACACTTTTTAACAGAGAACCCAACAAAACAGAGGGGTAAATCAAAACAAAATAGAAAAAATTATAGAAAATGATGATAACAATGGTTATACCTAACAAAGCACGAACGAAATCAAATTCTTCTAAGGTATCTCCATTTAATCTCAAGAGAAAATCCAATATATGAGTTGTTTAGCAAAATACGATGAACCGCTGACATGCATCTAACTGAAACCTATATATATTTAAGTTATAAAACCAAAATACATGGGTGTCCAATTTTTTCTTCACACAAAGGAGCTTGCTAGAATTTAATGACCATTTTTTAAATATTAGCCTATTCATAATGATAGGATTCTACTTACAAAATGCAGATGGCTACAAATGTTTAACTGGCAAAGGTCAACCAGCAAGTGGTTCAAATCCGATAGAGTGAATTTTATATACTAGATAACATTTTTATACACCGATATATTTAAAGCAAACGGCATTACAATAAAAAATGCAAAGGCTATTTTAGAACACACTTTGTGCTAAGAAGATTCTCTTTGATGCTATTTTGATCTGAATTGGTGGATAAAAATTCACTCTTGAGTTCCCACTCTCTCCATAAAAATGGCTGAACTAAATAAGTTTCCGCGGAACGCAAATAAAATCTCCGCATGATTTGAAATAACCAATCGATCAAAATCTCATCTAAGGCAGCCAAGACGAAGAAAAAATAAATGAATATCGGGTGGATAAGAAAAATCAATATAAGCAGAATATTACCTAATCACGCACGAAAGAAAACTTGGTTCGCAAAATTGAATTTCAAATGAAGTTCATCTTCTCACTTATTGCAGTATTAAAAACCTACAATTTTAAAATGATGGCAGTAAATTTTATGGTTTTCTCTAGCCAATGAAATACATCGCTCACTTTCATAGCAAGAAACAATTTCAGCGCCAAAAATTCAATTTTCCGCGAGAATTATGTCTGGTTAATGAAAACGGTCTTCAAAGCACAGCGACGAAGCCTAGCTTTGCACCACATGAGATAAAAAAATGTGTTAATGCAATGTGAAAAAAAAATTATTTATATGACTTCTGCAAAAATTCTGAAATATAAAGTGGCCTTAAATTGCGAGGGCCGATATTTGACGGGTTGCGGAGAATTTTTTTGAAATAACTTTCTACGAGGAAGTTTTTCACAGCAGGGGATTCAAGATTTGAATCATTTCTGAATTATACCGTGCTAAAATTGAGAAGAGAATTGTCTTGAAATTGGTATAAGTTATTTATTGCAGACAAGAAATAGGCCGAGGACCGGAGAGCTGTAGAAATTTTGTCGGAACGATTAAAGAAAACTTAAGAACAAAAGAAGAACAAAGCGAGCGTCCTTGTAGCGGAATCCGCTTACAATTCACAAAATACACAGTTTGACCTCGTAATAAAGTTTGCGCTTTATGAACTAATGCACAAGATTACCATACTTTGCGCAAACACTAGCAGGAACACGACAAAAAGCAGCTCTATGAAGTGCAAAAGAAAAAAGTAGACATAAGCCTCTAATTAGTAAAAATTCGGCTACGTCTCGGACTAGATCTGCAACCTAGAGATTATGAGATTCATGCACTAACCACTCAGCCACAGATGCTTAATAAATGTCATTTACTAGCCACAAATAAAGCAGATCCTAACAAATTTCCAAGACTACAGATCGTGATTATAGCAAAAAAGCCTCCAAATATCTGAACACTTTTAATGAACTCTTTTATTTGCGAGTTAGGTTAAACAAGAAGAAGGATCGTACTAATACATTTCGCTGGCAAGTGTAATAAGCCGAAGCATCCTGCCAAGCGGGGAAGAAAGAAATTTAACAAAAACAAGAGGTAACCTTAAGAATATGCAACAAATCAAAATGAATAACAATTTTAGTAAACCTTAGTCAAATCCCAAATAAAATTGCTTAAAAAATCCAAACTTTGAAAAGAAAGCCGATATAAATCAGCAGGCAAATTATAGTTGTTTATTTAATTTTTTTTCTTAAGAAAAGATTTTCAATAAGTAGGCTCCTAGTCGTAATCGAAAAATTTTTTCGTTTGAGGGAAATTCAAAATGTAGACAACATCATAACTCACTTCTGCTTAATCAGCACTTGCGAGTTTATTTTCAATAATTAATAAAAATGGTGACAAGTAAGAGCTGTAAGATGAAAGAAGTTGTTAAAGGAAATACAGTCTAGTTCCCGGTTACACGACAGAACAAAGCCAACAGACAGTTGGAAAAAAAGTCATGAAGACCAGAAAACAGAACAAAAACTGACGATTTTATTTTTCGAACTTCAAAGAAAATTTTTTTATGGCATTAAAGTTCTTTGAATTTCAAAAACAATTTAAAAAATTGACCCATTTTGAGAAAACTGGATCAATAAGTAAGTTTTTTTATTTCGCTGGGAAATCTGAAAATTAAATTCTGCATTCGAAACTAGACGTACTATAGGTTTTTCATGGCCTTAACATTTTTGCTGCTTGAAAGTGGATTTTGCCTTCTTTTAAATAAGGAAATCAACTGAACTTGAAAAGAAGTGAAAAGTCAAACCTCGAAATATCAAAACTGAACCTGAACAAAATTTCATAACCTCAAAGTCAAACCTCGAACTACGTCAAACCTCGAACTACGTCAAACCTCGAACTATGTTCATGACTTCAAAAGATTAAATCCAACTCTGTTCTCATATTTTTGTAATCAGATAAAATCATAACGCCCTCAATTAATATTTATAGAATTTCTTGAATCTGAGAAAAATTTGACTATATTTTCTCGAATAAGAGAAAAACATCAAAATATCCTTTTGCAATTCGAACCAAGACTGAAACGTATCTAACTATTCGCGACACGACAATTGGTCGCAAGCGACATTTCGTACTTAACAAAGACAACTCGCACCAGTGAAAATGAGTACGATTGAACTGTCGACGCGCGCAATCGTGCTGATACGTGTTGCCTGCTTGCCAAAATGCTTGGCGACACTAAGCTAATATTTGTCGCTTGGTGCAAGTTGTCGCTTTTTCTCAATACTATCAGATGTCGCTTTCCAATATTCAGTATGGCAACACACAATCGGACTGGCGCACCTTAAATCGCGTGATACAAACACCATATGCCTCAGCTCTATTAATGTTTGGAATTAATAACGTGTTTTTCAGGCCGGCTGACATAATCTGTCCTCGGACAAAACATTGCGCAATGTACAGCGCCGATTCAAATTATCTGGACAAAACGAACAATATTTGAAATTTCAAAAGCATATTTTTCAAATTGGGTTATGGTTAGACACCAAATGAGGAGGTCATAAATTGCTTAGAATTTTACCGAACAAAAAAAATGTACAATTTTTTGGGTGCAATTCTATAAAAAAATAATTTTGGTTGATAGCCGAAAAAGGTCGTTTATGGTTTTTAAAAATCAATATCTTTGATAAAAATCAAATTTCCAACGTTTTACGCCAACTTTTGGATGTTACAGCCTCCTAAAAATTTGAAATGCTTTGTAAGATGATTCTTTTGATATTACTTTCTCATCAATTAAATTGGTAGTTTCAGCGTAATTTTTGATTAATTAAAAAAGCCAAAATGACCCATATGACCAAAAAAAATTGCACTAAACATTACGCTGAAACTACCAATTTAATTGATGAAACGGTTATATCAAAAGAAGCATCTTACACAGCCCATCAAAGTCTATAACTTTCAAAAATTTGTGTAAAACGTTGGAAGTTTTATTTTATCAAAGATTTTGATTTTTAAATAGTAAAACTACCTTTTTTGGCTTTGAACTAAAAATATATTTCTAACAGATTTTTAGAAATTTTATAGCTCTAGAATTTTTGTGGAATGTGTAAGAATCTTATTTTGATATAATTTTTGCAAAAACTTTACCAAAAAAGTGGAATTTTCAAAAAGAATTTTTTTTCTTAAGAAAAGATTTTCAATAAGTAGGCTCCTAGTCGTAATCGAAAATTTTTTTCGTTTGAGGGAAATTCAAAATGTAGACAACATCATAACTCACTTCTGCTTAATCAGCACTTGCGAGTTTATTTTCAATAATTAATAAAAATGGTGACAAGCAAGAGCTGTAAGATGAAAGAAGTTGTTAAAGGAAATACAGTCTAGTTCCCGGTTACACGACAGAACAAAGCCAACAGACAGTTGGAAAAAAGTCATGAAGACCAGAAAACAGAACAAAAACTGACGAATTTATTTTTCGAATTTCAAAGAAAATTTTTTTATGGCATTAAAGTTCTTTGAATTTCAAAAACAATTTAAAAAATTGACCCATTTTGAGAAAACTGGATCAATAAGTAAGTTTTTTTATTTCGCTGGGAAATCTGAAAATTAAATTCTGCATTCGAAACTAGACGTACTATAGGTTTTTCATGGCCTTAACATTTTTGCAGCTTGAAAGTGGATTTTGCCTTCTTTTAAACAAGGAAATCAACTGAACTTGAAAAGAAGTGAAAAGTCAAACCTCGAAATATCAAAACTGAACCTGAACAAAATTTCATAACCTCAAAGTCAAACCTCGAACTACGTTCATGACTTCAAAAGATTAAATCCAACTCTGTTCTCATATTTTTGTAATCAGATAAAATCATAACGCCCTCAATTAATATTTATAGAATTTCTTGAATCTGAGAAAAATTTGACTATATTTTCTCGAATAAGAGAAAAACATCAAAATATCCTTTTGCAATTCGAACCAAGACTGAAACGTATCTAACTATTCGCGACACGACAATTGGTCGCAAGCGACATTTCGTACTTAACAAAGACAACTCGCACCAGTGAAAATTAGTACGATTGAACTGTCGACGCGCGCAATCGTGCTGATACGTGTTGCCTGCTTGCCAAAATGCTTGGCGACACTAAGCTAATATTTGTCGCTTGGTGCAAGTTGTCGCTTTTTCTCAATACTATCAGATGTCGCTTTCCAATATTCAGTATGGCAACACACAATCGGACTGGCGCACCTTAAATCGCGTGATACAAACACCATATGCCTCAGCTCTATTAATGTTTGGAATTAATAACGTGTTTTTCAGGCCGGCTGACATAATCTGTCCTCGGACAAAACATTGCGCAATGTACAGCGCCGATTCAAATTATCTGGACAAAACGAACAAAATTTGAAATTTCAAAAGCATATTTTTCAAATTGGGTTATGGTTAGACACCAAATGAGGAGGTCATAAATTGCTTAGAATTTTACCGAACAAAAAAAATGTACAATTTTTTGGGTGCAATTCTATAAAAAAATAATTTTGGTTGATAGCCGAAAAAGGTCGTTTATGGCATTTAAAAATCAATATCTTTGATAAAAATCAAATTTCCAACGTTTTACGCCAACTTTTGGATGTTTCAGCCTCCTAAAAACTTGAAATGCTTTGTAAGATGATTCTTTTGATATTACTTTCTCATCAATTAAATTGGTAGTTTCAGCGTAATTTTTTATTAATTAAAAAAGCCAAAATGACCCATATGACCAAAAAAAAATTGCACCAAACATTACGCTGAAACTACCAATTTAATTGATGAAACAGTTATATCAAAAGAAGCATCTTACACAGCCCATCAAAGTCTAAAACTTTCAAAAATTTGTGTAAAACGTTGGAAGTTTTATTTTATCAAAGATTTTGATTTTTAAATAGTAAAACTACCTTTTTTGGCTTTGAACTAAAAATATATTTCTAACAGATTTTTAGAAATTTTATAGCTCTAGAATTTTTGTGGAATGTGTAAGAATCTTATTTTGATATAATTTTTGCAAAAACTTTACCAAAAAAGTGGAATTTTCAAAAAGTCTTCCAAGAATTGGTTCGCAACTGTTTTTAGCTATTCATAAGACGAATCGGTTCACAAAAAACTGAAATATTTCAAGTTTTTAGATAGCACGAATCAGATCGAGGAAAAGTTTCAAAAGCGAGCTAATCAAGTGATGAAACTTCGGAATGTTTGATTCGAGAAACAAGTCTGTTCAAAGCGATACACCCATGAAACCACTCAAGTTTTTTCATAGCATTAATCGGTTCGCTAAAATTAGCCAAGCGAGCTAATCAAGCGCAGAAACTTCAAATTGCTAGTAGTTATCTCAAGGGGAATAAGTGTTAAAACAGAAATTTTTTCTTTTTTTTTTCTGAGCAAGCTCACCAAGTGTCAAAATTTTGAAAAAGTCACAAGTTATTTCATACTTCAAATTGTCCGAGCAAGTGATGAAACTTTGAAAAGTTTTAGTTACTTCAGAAAGAACCGCTTAGCTTCCTGAAGCAAACTCAAGCGGCAAAATTTGGTTAAATACTCCAGTTGTTTGATAGAGCAAATCGATCGAAATTTTAAGTTGCCAAAGCAAGCTCATGAAACGACGAAACTTTTGAATGTTTCAGTTATCTCAGAGTGAATTGAATCTCAAGCAAACTCATCGAGCGATAAAACTTTGGGGCATTACTGTTTGTTGATAGTTCGAATCAGTACTGAAAAACGTAATTTTCTACGCAATCACTTCAAGGGATTACACATTCAACGATTTCGAAGTTTTTTAAGAGTGCAAAAATAAAATTTTCAAATCAAGCGATGAAACTACAAATGTTTATTGCTATTCAGGAGGAAAAAACTCATGGGCTTTTGAAATATTTCAATTTATTGATAGCTCAAAACGGTTTGCAAAAAATGGTTTTGTCAAGCAAGTAAATCAAGTGATGAACATTTGAAAAGTTATACTTCTTTCCCAGGGCGAACCAGTTTTTAAAAAATTGAAATTTTAATGAGCAAATTTATCAAGTGATTAAAACTTGAAGTATATCAACTTTTTTGACTGTGCAAATCGGTTCGTACATTTTGATGTTTTTTCACGCGATGTAATGAATTATAGAAAAAACAAGACAAAACGACAGTACTGTCTAGTATTGAAATTGGATCAAGTTGATTTTGTCTAAAGCACTGGCCTACAAAAATCTTCTAAAACATTTCATATTCAGAAAGTTTACAAATCAAGGAAACTCTTGCCAAGCTTAGCCGATACCGATTTCTTAAACGTTGTGCTCGATAGTCGCATCTAAACCATTGCACTAAGTGAGTACAAAAAACATGTAATTCGCTTAATATACAGATAAATTAAATAAATATTAGAGAGAAGGAGCTGATAGGTGTATTTGCTAAAAATTTAAAGGCTAGTTCGACCAAAACATAGACAAAAGAAATTGTCAATGAACAGAGAAATGAACAGCTGATCTGAAGTTCTTAAAACGACTTGTCCTAAATAAAAAATTAACTCATACCAAAAACAATTGAGCTTGACCAAGTACAGTAACGTATTCATTAGAACAACTAGTGTGCCTATTTTTAATTTGTAACAATTTCTGATCCACATTAAATATCCACATGCAAAAAATGGTTTTGTCAAGCAAGTAAATCAAGTGATGAACATTTGAAAAGTTATACTTCTTTCCCAGGGCGAACCAGTTTTTAAAAAATTGAAATTTTAATGAGCAAATTTATCAAGTGATTAAAACTTGAAGTATATCAACTTTTTTGACTGTGCAAATCGGTTCGTACATTTTGATGTTTTTTCACGCGATGTAATGAATTATAGAAAAAACAAGACAAAACAAGACAAAACGACAGTACTGTCTAGTATTGAAATTGGATCAAGTTGATTTTGTCTAAAGCACTGGCCTACAAAAATCTTCTAAAACATTTCATATTCAGAAAGTTTACAAATCAAGGAAACTCTTGCCAAGCTTAGCCGATACCGATTTCTTAAACGTTGTGCTCGATAGTCGCATCTATTTTTAATTTGTAACAATTTCTGATCCACATTAAATAGCCGCTCACGTGGTAATAGCACGGTGTATATCGCGAGTTAATTACCCTGAATTGGCAATTTTCAAACCCTCATAACTCTGCGAAAATGATTGCAGGTAAAATGTCTTTTTAATTTTAAGCTTAGGACATCAATAGCTTTCAGATGAACAATTCGTTCAAATGACTAGTTGTAAAGTCGAAGCTAGCCTGAAGATAAAGAAACCAACCAAACTGGTTTTGAAAGCCGGAAAATAATGGAACTTCTACATTGACTCCGTGGTAGATGTAAAAATTATACTCACAAGCTGAGCTTCGCACCACTTTCAATACAAAAATTAATGACTATTGTTAAAATGAAATAAAAACTTCAAATATTGTTTTAGTCATTTTATTAATTGCAAAAAATCCCAAAATATTTGGAACAAAATTACCTGCACCATTAGAAACTATGCAAGGAGCCTTCGGAGTCCAGCTTTCAAGCAGACAGACAATAATCTAACATAGCCGAAAACTTTCAGCTTGCAAAAAAAACGGGTCACGATCGAATCGAACTCAACCTACTGGAACGGGCCTACGGGAACTGAGCTGACAATAATAAACAGACGAACGATAGTCCGAAAAAGCACAAACTCTTGCTTGCAAAAAAAACATGTCCCGGTCGGATTCGACCCACAAGCCTCTGCCGACTCCAGCAAATGTGTAACCTTAAGTGCGATTTCGTCTTCAAAAAGATTCCTCGCAATTTATTTGTTATAGAGGCGAAGCTGCGCTTCACAAACTTTTAATGTTAGTAAAACTTTTGATGTGTCGGACTCGAACCTGGGATGTCGAGATTTGGAGTCTCACACCCTTTCCACTCAGCCACAGACGCTTCAAGATCAGCCAAAACAAGCCACAATAAAAGCAGAGAACAGATGCTATGAAATTTCCAATGCTGCAGTTGGCGATTATAGTTGGTGATCAAACGCTACAGTTGGTGATCCAACGCTCTTTAAATTTGCAGAAACTCTAGAAGTAGAATTTTTGGTATTTTAGCCCAATGTAAGAAAACTGGATCCATATGTAACTTTTTCCGCACTACTTCTTTAAAACTTTCCGCGTCATTTGCACTTATACATAGGAGAGCATTTCAATTTCAGCTCAATCAGGTCACATGTGTAACTCACATGAGCTTAATAACTATGCTAGAAATTCTATGCTAGAAATTCTAAACTTTTTAATGAAAAAAAAAACCATTTAATTTAAAGCAAAGAAAACTTATACCATAAGCCAAAATAAATCAGAAACAAAATCAAATTGAGCTTATTTTCTCGTAGTTTTCACAAAAAAAATCACTCATTGTACAAGTAATTGAAACCAATCTTTGCAGCAACCGATTTAACCGGACACCAACTAATACTCAAAAACGACACAATTCCTTGAAGCGCATGCCAATTATAAACGTAGTTAACAAAGGATAATAAAGGTGTAAGAGAAACCAAGGAACAAAAAGTAGTATGAAAACTTTTAAACATTTTCCAACTTGCAAAGAAAAAAATATACCAGGTTAGAGCTCTTTGAATTTCAAGAACTGCTGATGATGGGCAATTTTTACTAAAAATCAACGCAATTTAGGAAAACTGGATCAATGAGAAAACTTTAGTACCGCTGGGACATCTAATAAAAAAAAACCACGTTCGAGACTAGAAATTGGTCACGTTTTTTCGCGCCGTTTGCACGTTCGTAATTCAAGAGCAATTTACCAATTTTTAGCAAATTAAATTAAATTGAACTCAAAAAAGCATATATAGCTAAGTGCATTCATAAATGCATTCATAGGTATGATGCACTTCTTTACTCAAAGAGCATTTTTGGACTTTTTCCTGAAAAAAATATAAAGACCTGCATAAGTGAAAATAACTTCGTTCTTAATCAAAACGGTATTTGGAGAAACGTTGAGAAAACGCAGATACGTTTAAAAACACTTCGTTCAGTGCACCAGAAAAATGAGACTTTACTATAATGCTGCATTCTCTTTCTCAAATCAAGAAACGTTCTTTCTGCTTCAAAAAATTTAATATTTCACTTCCTAAATATCTGCGAAATTTTCAGATTCGACTAAATCATAAATATTAATTCTAACGTTTTGTAAAGCATACTATCGATTTACTGTGAAAGCATTATGCACCGGACTGAAAAATGGGAGAAAGTTTATTAACACATCTTTGGACAACTGCGTGCGAATCCGCGAGTGCTGTCGGACCAAAAAATTCGTCGTTTTCTGAAGGTATCTTTGCAACGACTGCTTGCGCTCCTCGACAAATGTCGCATCTTTATTTCTCATAATTGTTTTAGGCGGGAACTCAAATGTATCTACAACTGGGTACTCTTTTTTGAGGGAGTTGTGGAAATCGTGGAACTGCTGGTATCGTTTGAATATGCGCCACTCTTCGTTCTTGACTCTGATGTGCACGTGGTATATTTGGTGCGACTGTCTCAGGAAGGATGAGGGAATCCAGACATTGACAAACATGGCTGCGAGGTCTTCCACCGTCAGAAACTCATTGCCTAAAAACAGCCTCAAAGCTATAATTCATCACAACTTACAATTCAAAAAACAATGTCTACTTTTTAGAAGCCTTCAAAAGCTTACTTTTTAAATCAACAAAAGCTTGTATCTGATATTGCGCTTCTCATTGCGAAAGACTTAAGTCTTCTGAAACGGAGATGCACATTTAACAAATGACAGTGAAATAAAACGAAGTAACTAAATTTTTGCTTTATAAAATCTAGCAATAAGAGCGCCCCAATTTTTAAAAACTACTGAAGGAATCGAACACCAGACTTTCAAAAATTAAGCTATATCTACGTAACCTGCGTCATCTTTGACTTTGAACAAAAACATAGCCAACAGAAACATTGGTAAACTTTTCACGGAAAATCTAGTTAAATCCCTATGATTCACTACTATGAAAGAACTGTACAAGAGGTTATAATATAACTGAACATGAATTTTCAGCAGGGTTATGACATATTTTAAGACCTTCACCTGGTAGTGGACCTCGGAGTACATTGATTTCATTTCTCAGATGATGGATAGTCCTCTCTTTACTCATATTCTCACTCTGCAACTGCTCATTTAACTCCAATAGCTCCGCATGCAGTCCACTCATCGCTATCAGTTTTGCCTCATAGCCTGAAGATTCCCCTTCCACTGATGAAGTCCGACTTAGATTGTCTAGAGCGTCGTGCGAGGAACAGGCGGAGTCGATTTCAATATTTGAGGTAGCATCTAAAACAAATAAATGTAAGCCATAATTAGAACTGTTAGCATGAATGGATTCAAGTATACTAAAAAAATGGATAAAAATAAACAAAGTCAGCTGACAGTTGGAAAAGAGTAATGAGCACAATGAAACAGAAAAAACACTAATTTGTTATTTTATTTTTGAAAAAGTCCAACTTTCGAATTTTAAAAACAAAACATATGCCCTAAAAGCTATTTGAATTTCACGAACAATTACTGAATGGTGCTTTTTTGATAAAAACTAACCCAATTTGAGAGCACTGGATCAATCGGTAAAATTTAGAAATAAGAAGTCGATCGAGTTTTTCATGACCTTTACTCGTTGTTGGATAACGGAGTTTGCCTTTCTTTTAACAACAGAAATGCACTGAACTTAAAAAGAAATCCGCGGAAATCAAAATCAGCAAGACTTATATACTACAACTTTTGAAAAGAGAAACCAACAGTTAAACCGCGAAAAATTAAAACTGAGCGTGAACAGATTTCAAGAATTTTTCCTGAAAAAAAAACAAAAAAATCACCACGACCTATAACATAGCCAACCGACAAATGGAAAAATCTCAATGAACGAAAGTAAACAGTAAAAAACGCCCTTCATATTCTTTGAATTTCTGAAACAATGTAAGATTGAAATTTTTTTGATAAAATGAACACAGCTTGAAAAAACTGGATCAATAATTAAAATTTTTATTTCGCAGGGAAATCTGAAAAAAGAATTCCACTTTCGATACTAGAAGACGATCATGTTTTTCGTGACCTTTACACATTCGATAGTGGAGTTTGCCTTCTTTTTAATAAAGAAACTGAAGTGAACAAAAAGAAATCAAAACTCAAACCGCGAAAAATAAAATTTTAGCGTGAACAAATTGTAAGACTTCCGGAAAAATCATAAAAAGACCTTTAAAAAAGCCTGAACTATGTTCATCGACTTTTAAAAAGAGTACTCACTACGTTCATTACTCTTAAAATTTGTGGTCTTAATTTCGCAACTTTTTAGTGCTTCAGTATAAAAAAACCGCCACTTAAAAATGAACACAGAGGCGGAGTTGCACTTCGCATACACAAGCAAAAATATGACCGATAACGCTACTGGGAAAAACAAAATGAGTAAAACTTTGAGTCTACAAAACTTCCTAAGTGGCGCATGCCAATTATGATTCTACAAAATTGCTAAGTGACGCAAGCCAATTATGACGCATTAGCAGTACCAGTAAATTCGAAAAAAGAAATTTACCAACTAACATGCATCAATTTATAGAGCGGACGCATTTTTACTAGTATACGAAAAATTTCATTAAAAACATCAGACCCTGCCCATGTTCGAACCCTCTTGCTTTGTTGCTGGTCTCCTTCTCTACCTCTACGCTACAGATCTACGACATTCTGAAGCTTAAGTGCTATTTGTAATATAATAGTCTGTGTTAATATCCTTAGCATTGGCTGTACTTAATAGCTGAATCAAAATGAACACTTTCAAAATGAACATATGTTGTCGCAATCAACACTTTCAAAATGAACATATGTTGTCGCAACAATTGCATCGCAACAGTTTTTGCGACTTAGGTTGAAAAAAAAGAGAGTTCATTCTATAACACAAGCTATGATGTGTAATAAGGAAAAAAACGATGATGTTGAAACTTTGTGGGAAAATCAACATTCTGGTATTGATTTTACAACAGTGGTATTCATTTTACATGATAATGTTTTGGTAAGAGTCATTTGTATTACAATTCGAACTTCAGCACTCCGTAGAGAATAAATAAAGATTCAAACCGATATTATCATCAGAAAATTTATCTAAAGAAAAGGGCAACAGCAGCAGGCAAGGATGCACTGCTTGGTGCATCGATAGGACATCATAAATGACGGAAAATTGTTGTTTATATAGCTCGCCTATACCTTTGATTTTAACATTTAATGGCTTTAAGAACTTTTCAAAGAAAAAATCAATACTCAAAACGAAATTATCGTTCCATAAGTATCAGAAAAGAAGACGAATAGTAAAATACACATTTTAGTTTTGCTGAAATAATCAATGAAAAAAATCAAAACTCTTTGGAGTATACAACAGGATTCAAACCCTAACAAAAAAAAATGAATGACATATGCTTATAACAAGCATTGCAGACTATGTCATTCAATTTCTTTATTATGGTTTGAATCCTGTTGTATACTGGCTAAAAGAATAAGCGTTTCGGTACTTCAAAATGAAAATCTTGTTTTTTGTCGCGAATAAGTCACGAAGCAAAATGAAAAATCACCACATTTTTGAGTTTCCAGAACAACAAAATTGAACGCTTTATATAGAAATTTAGAACAATCCCAAAGGCTCACAATTGCTTCAAAAATCCATGTTATAAGAATGATTATTATTATTTACTTAACACTTGATTGCCTTTTCAGAACTTCTTAGAGAATAAATCAGGAATCAAAACAAAATTATCATCACAAACTTTCAAGTGGATAACGAATTACGGTTTTATAAAACCTTTTAAAGCAACCTTAAGACACCACCCCTCGCTACCCAATGACTCGGACAATTGTTTATATATGAATAAATCGAAGTATTTAATATTGAACACCTTTTCAGAACTTTTTAGAGAATAAATCAGGAATCAAAACAAAATTATCATCAAATGGTTTCCAGTGGATAACGATTTACAGTTTTATAAAAGTTTTAAAGCAACCTTAAGACACCATCATTGGCTACCCAATGACTCGAAAAAATGTTTTTATATGAATTAATCTAAGTATTTATATATTGAAGAGTTTTTCAGAACTTCTTAGAGAATAAATCAGGAACCAAAACAAAATTATCATCACATGGTTTTCAGTGGATAACGAATTACAATTTTATAAAAAACTTAAAGTAACTTAAAGACACAATCAGTTGCTACCTAATACCCCGGACAATTAATTTTATATGAACAAATCTAAGTATTTATATATTGAAGACCTTTTCAGAACTTTTTAGAGAACAAATCAGGAATCAAACCGAAATTATCATCACATGGTTTTCAGTGGACAACGAATAACAATTTTATAAAACATTTTAAAGCAACCTTAAGACACCATCCCTCGCTACCTAATGACTCGGACAATTGTTTATATTTGAACAAATCTAAGTATTTATATATTGAAGAACTTTTCAGAACTTTTTAGAGAACAAATCAGGAATCAATTCGAAATTATCATCACATGGTTTTCAGTGGACAACGAATTACAATTTTATAAAACATTTTAAAGCAACCTTAAGACACCATTCCTCACTACCTAATACCTCGGACGATTGATTTTATAATTAATGAATCTAAGTATTTATATATTGAAGAACTTTTCAGAACTTTTTAGAGAATAAATCAGGAATCAATTCGAAATTATCATCACATGGTTTTCAGTGGACAACGAATTACAATTTTATAAAACATTTTAAAGCAACCTTAAGACACCATCCCTCGCTACCTAATGACTCGGACAATTGTTTATATTTGAACAAATCTAAGTATTTATATATTGAAGAACTTTTCAGAACTTTTTAGAGAATAAATCAGGAATCAATTCGAAATTATCATCACATGGTTTTCAGTGGACAACGAATTACAATTTTATAAAACATTTTAAAGCAACCTTAAGACACCATCCCTCGCTACCTAATGACTCGGACAATTGTTTATATTTGAACAAATCTAAGTATTTACATATTGAAGACCTTGTCAGAACTTCTTGGAGAATAAATCAGGAATCAAAACAAAAATATCATCACATGGTTTTCAGTGGATAACGAATTACAGTTTTATAATAGTCTTAAAGCAATCTTAAGACACCATCATTCGCTACCCAATGACTCGAAAAAATGTTTTTATATGAATTAATCTAAGTATTTATATATTAAAGTGTTTTTCAGAACTTCTTAGAGAATAAATCAGGATTCAAAACAAAATTATAATCACATGGTTTTCAGTGGATAACGAATTACAGTTTTATAAAAAAAAAACTTTAAGTAACTTTAAGACAACGTCATTTGCTACCTAATACCCCGGAAAATTAATTTTATTTTATATGAACAAATCTAAGTATTGATATATTAAAGACCTTTTCAGAACTTCTTAGAGAATAAATCAGGAATCAAAACGAAAATATCATCACATGGTTTTCAGTGGATAACGAATTACAGTTTTATAAAAAGTTTTAAAGCAAGTTTGAGACACCATCATTTGCTACCTAAAACCCCGGACAATTGCGTTTATAGGAATAAATCTAAGTATTGATATATTGAAGACCTTTTCAGAACTTCTTAGAGAATAAATCAGGAATCAAAACGAAATTATCATCATATGGGTTTCAGTGGAGAACGAATTACAAGTTTATAAAACATTTTAAAGCAACCTTAAGACACCAATTCTCGCTACTTAGTGCCTCAGACGATTGTTTTTTTTTGAATGAATCAAATTTTTATAAATTGAAGACCTTTTCAGAACTTCTTAGATAATAAATCAGGAATCAAAACAAAAATATCATCACAAGGTTTTCAGGGGATAACGAATTACAGTTTTATAAAAGTCTTAAAGCAATCTTAAGACACCATCATTCGATACCCAATGACTCGAAAAAATGTTTTTATATGAATTAATCTAAGTATTTATATATTGAAGTGTTTTTCAGAACTTCTTAGAGAATAAATCAGGATTCAAAACAAAATTATCATCACATGGTTTTCAGTGGATAACGAATTACAGTTTTAAAAAAAAAACTTAAAGTAACTTTAAGACAGTCATTTTATATGAACAAATCTAAGTATTGATATATTGAAGACCTTTTCAGAACTTCTTAGAGAATAAATCAGGAATCAATTCGAAATTATCATCACATGGTTTTCAGTGGACAACGAATTACAATTTTATAAAACATTTTAAAGCAACCTTAAGACACCATTCTTCACTACCTAATGCCTCGGACGATTGATTTTATTATGAATGAATCTAAGT